GGAGCGAGCGCGACGCGGCCAAGCACAGGCTGCTGGTGCTGGTCAAGGACAATGGCGAGCCGCCGCTGTCGGCCAGCGTCACGCTGCACGTGCTGCTGGTGGACGGCTTCTCGCAGCCCTACCTGCCGCTCCCGGAAGCGGCTGCCGACGCGGCCCAGGCCGACCCGCTCACGGTCTACCTGGTCATCGCGCTGGCGTCGGTGTCGTCGCTCTTCTTGTTCTCGGTGCTGGCGTTCATCGCGGTGCGGTTGCGCCAGAGGAACAGGGGCGCCTCATTGGGTGGCTGCTCGGTGCCCGAGGGCTACTTTCCAGGCCACCTAGTGGACGTCAGCGGTACAGGGACCCTGTCCCAGAGCTACCAATATGAGGTGTGTCTGACGGGAGACTCAGGGAATGAGTTCAAATTCTTGAAGCCTATCTTCCCCAATATTCAAGGCCAGAGCCTTGGGAGTAAGTCAGAATAGTTTAGGTATCTAAAACGTCCCCACTTCGAACATTAGTGTTGTCTCCTTCACCGTTTCCTTTTTTGTTTTAACCCAGTAGTAGCCTTTCGACTTGCTTTTCTTTTTTCTCTGTTTTCCTTATTAAAGTAACTCTTCGTTTTGTTTGCCTGGTTGTCCTACAATTATTTTTCCAATTGTATTAATAGTAACAAATTTATATCAGGAAATTTCATATTTCTGATTAAAATTTTAGTACTCATTCCTAAAGGATAATATGAAAGTTAACCTCTCAGAATAAACATAATTCTAATTTTAAATTTATGCATCTCATTGTATGACACTACATAAGAATATCTGATTTCTTTTTATCATACTTTATTTTTAAATTATTGGAAGTCTTTTTAGTTTGTATTATTTACACAGCTATGACTCTTCTATAATCCTTTTGTTTAGGGTGGAATCGATTTGTATTTACCCATGTCCAGTTTCTTCCAAGCTCTGTTTTGATTTTCGTTTTATCAATAGGCAGCAACAAGTAAACTTTCATGCTGTTTATATCACAATAACACTTTCAGTCATTAGACTTTCATTCTAAAATATATATATGTCATTTCATGGAAATATTTCTTCTATTCTTTCTCATCTAACGTAATGTTGAAAAGACTTATGGGTTCTTCATTATATCTGACTGAAGTTATGAATCTGAGAAGAGTCCTGAACAGGTTTACTGATGCCCAGATTTAACTGTACCTTAAAGGCCAGTAGACTCTAGGACCAAGTAATGCATCGCCTGCAATTGTCCCTTGCTATTGCAGAGAAATTCTCAAGTGAACTCCAAATTCCGGGCCTAAAGGAGCTCTTGGTAGCACAGCATGCCAATATCTACTTGCCTTTGGATGATATAGTTCTGGTTAATAAGGAATTTGTAAGAAAATACATTGTAGAATTAATATTAATTAACTAAAGAAAACTTAATAAAAGATATGTTAATGAGGGTGTTGAATGATTTTGAATAAGTAATCAGCTCTTTTGTCAGGACTCCTTTGTCTCCAGAAGCCTCTTAATTTTGCAGATACTATAGACTGGTATAATAGGCAGAATAATGGCTCCCATAAGACATCCACATCCTATTCCCTGGAATCTATGAATATGTTGTATTATATTGCAAAAGGGAATTCAGGGTTCAGATGGAATTAAAGTTGCTAATCGGCTAACATTAAAATAGAGAGAATGTCCTAGATGATCTGGATGGGCCTGATTCAATCCGTTGAAAGTCCTTAAAAACAGCTGACTTCCTTAAGATGAAGAATTTCAGACTGGGGCAGCACCTTCGGCTCATACTCCGGAGTTCCAGCATGCCCTTTTGTATTGCCTACTCCTCAGATTTTCAACTTGCCTAGCCAGCTCCTGCAATTGAATAAATCATTTGCTTGCAATAAATCTCTTAATATAGATCTCCTGCTGGTTCTGTTTTTCTGGTTGAACCCTGACTGTTACAGAGTTTGGTGTCTGAAAGTGGAGAGCTATTGCAACAAATAACTAAAAATATGAAAGTTGCTTTGGAATTGGGTAGTAGGCAGAGGCTAGAAGAATTTTGAAGTGCATGATGGAAAAAGGCTGGATTACTTTGAACAGACTGTTAGTTGCAATATGTATGTTAATAATTCTGCTAGCGAAGACTCAGAAGGAAATTAAGGAGCATGTGGAGAAAACATACACTGCCTTATAGAATACCTAAGTCATTGTAAAGAGACTGTTGGTAGAAATATGGATGTTAAAGTCACTTCTGGTCAGGGCTCAGAAAGAAATGAAGAAAATTATTAGAAACTGGGGGAAAGGGAATCCTTGTATTATGGTGGCAGAAAACTTAGTTGAATTATGTCCTGCGCTGGAAATGTGGAAAGAAAGACTTGGAAACGATGAACTTGGATATTTAGCTGAGGAGATTTCCAGGCAAAGGGTTGAAGTTGTAGCCTGGTTTATTCTTGCTGCTTTTAGTAAAACGTGAGAGGAATGAGATCGATTGAGAGAAGAACTGTTGAGCAAAACGGAACCAGAACTTGATGATTTGAGTAATTTTCAGCCTATTCAAATTGTAAAAGATGCTAAAATTAGGAGACATTATCAGGAAAGCATATTCTGGAAAGAAACCCAAAGATTTTAATGTGACAAAGAAGAATTAAGGTTACAGAGGGACTTAAAGTTGATAATTAGGTGTCCTTTAAATTAGATTACCCTGGTTTATCCAGGTGTTCCCAGTATAATCACAAGAGCCCTTAATAAGAAGTGGAAGTGGGAAGCAGAAGAGGAGACAGTATCAGAGTGATATGTGAAAAAGGCTGAACCAGCCACTGCTGACTCTGAAGATGGAAGGAAGCCACGAGTAAAGGAATGCAGGCAGCCTCCAGGAGCTAGAAAAGGCAAGAAACTTATTCTCCCTTAGAGCCTCCAGAAAGCAGTGCAGCCCTACTTTAACCTGAGCCCTGTTTAACTTTTGATCTCCAGAACCGTAAGATAATACATTTGTGTTTTTAAGCCACTGAGTTCGTGGTAATTTGTTATAGCAGCAACAGGAAATTAATACATGTCTACTAAAAAAAACATTTCCAAGCCCATTTTTCCTTGCCTTCACCTATTCTAGGCCAAAATATTCACATTCCCATAATTCCTTGCAGGAAGGAGTATTATATAACTCTGTTATTGCTAATGATTTAAAAGTATAGTTAGAAGATTAGACTTAAGGGAAATATTTTTTTTAACAGGCTAGTCTAAGGTTTCTTAGGTCTTTTGCCCATTTTTTTTCCTTAACCAGCATGGATATTGGGGAAGAAGCCTTGAGCTGAAGCAGACAATTTGCAACCATAAAATGAGTGCCATAAAACAAAGGTTTATATACTAAGGATGATAAGATGGAAAACCCCTGAATTTCTTATAGCATTGTTAAGCTGCTGCAATAACTCTACACTATCTTCCTCCAAGTTGCATGATATAAGTAAACCTCTATGTCATTAAATAACTGTATTGCGTTTTCTGTTGATTATAGACAAATGTATTTGAAACTGACATATCTCTCCTCTTCATAAGTAAGGTTGATTTAAACAGTTGTCTGACTAGGTTGTCTATTTAAGATGTATGAGATGCTTGTCAGAAAAGCAGTTTTGGTTTTCTTTAGGTATTATCACGGGACAGAACACTGAACTACTGTGGCTGAGTTTCTATCTTCATTCAGTCATCTTGCAGTTTGGCTAATACTAACATACAGAGATAATTGAACTTTCAAAGGAATATTCCTGGCTAGTAGCAATCCTAAAAGTTGAGTTTTGGAAAATAGAATGAGACGGTAAGCTGAAAAATCCCAGTTATATTTTTAAATCTGCATTAGTGGTGTCCTGATGAGATGACTATGATGTTTATGCAGCCACCCAGAACACTAGTTTCCCTCTCAGGCAGGACCAAAAATTTTAGTCGGTTTAGTAAAATAAATTGACTAAATATGAGTCCTTAAAATCTTCGAAGCATACCAGCAATCTACATGTTTTGGTAGCATATGCCAGGTGGAAGTATCAGAAAATCCTAAGAAACTTTTCAATATAAAAAGATACATGTTTTGAAACAGGTCCAGAGATCATGATGTGTCAGTATCCACTGCACCTTTCCTATCTAATTTACAAATACTTTATTGGTAAAGTATAGAATTTAAAGCCATCTCCAAAAGATTAATACTTATGTCTTTCTTGGATTGATCTGGAATATGTTGAAAAGAGCATTACTCTCAGATTATCAGCAAAATCATGAAAAATCAATAGAAATTTATCACGACACATAATGCCTCAATTTTAGAACTCTACAACTGCATCGAGTGTTTGTGTATGTGTGTGCATTTGAGTGTATGTGTGTGTGTATCTGGGGGAGTAGCTTTAGTAGATGGTAGAGATGCTCTGCATGCACAGATACATACCTGAGTAATGTTACTTTTTCATAGCTTTCCAACATTGTAAAGATATTTTTCCCTTTAATGAGTAAATGTACGTAATAAAATTGGCATTAGGAACATATTCTAGAATCAATCATATTTGCAAATTAAAGGAGTTTTCTCTTTATAAATGTAACAATGCAGCATTATTGGATCTAGAAGTCTGACAGCCCTCCTGATGTTGAAAGAGCAGCCCAGGAGAGAGAACTGTAACTTAAATATGGTCATGTTTTCCCAATGAGATCAGGAAAAAATAAAGTTAATGTCAGGATATAACAGGGCTGGGGTAGGATGAGGCCAAGTTGTGTAAGTGTAGAGTGGGATCCTGTCTTTATTTAAATGTTAAAATTTTGTTCATCATGGATTTTTTTCCGCTGTTTGATTTTTTAGACTATTGCATTAAATAGTATCTATCTTTACTACCAAGTTTTTGGGTGACCCATTAATTTTGCTTCTGAGATACTTGCTTTGCCTTAGCCCTGGTCCTGTTGGTTACTTCCAACTTGCAAAATCAAATGAGCATCGCAGCACTAGTGATGGTGGTCACAGCTGGAATCTGAACAGAAAATCTGAATCAAGTACCTTTCCATTCTGAATATGGGATAGCAGCAGCAACAATGGAAGAATACAAAGATATCCAAGCAGATCTGACAAAGTGGAGTCCTGCAGACTGGGAATGAAAGAGCACTTGTATGACTGTGATTGACTATGCAAGTTATTTACATGTTTTTCTTCCAGGTGGCATGCAGCAGTGTGAAAAACATTATATATTAGGTAATTTCAATTTGCTACTGCATTGTTGAAAATTTTTTTCTCTGTGTTTGTGAAAAATGTTAGTGTGTGGGTGTGTGTGTGTGTGTGTGTGTATACATTTTTTTCATGTTATGCCCTTTCTGCGTTATAGTTTTAGTGTTATACTGGTCTAATAAAATGAGCTGACAATTGTTTCCTCCTCTTCTCTTTTATGAAAGAGCTTGTATAAGATATTATTTCTTTATATCTTTGATAGAATTTATCACAGAAGACATCTATGGCTAACTTTTTTTTCGTGGGAAGATTTTGAATTATAAACTTAATTTCTTAGCTATGCCGCAATTCCAATTTTCTAGTTCCTCTTATGTCAGTTGGTGAGTTGTGTTTTTTAAGTAATTTGCCCTTTTTATCTATGTTGTTAAAGTTATTGGCATGAAGTTATTGATAATATTCCTTTATTATCTTTTTGATATATTTATATGATACTGCTCTTTTATTTTGATATTGGTAAACTATGTTTTCTCTCCTTTTGTCTTTATCAGTATTGCTGTAACTGATTTATTAATCTTTTTCTTAAACCAAACCTTGGCTTCATTATTTTCCTATTAATTTCTGTTTTGTTTCTTTGATTTCCACTCTTATGTTTTCTTTTCTTGTACCTAGTTTGGGTTTAGTTTTCTCTTCTTTTTGTAATTTCTCTGAAAGTTTAGATCATTGACTCTAAGCCTTTCTTTTCTAATATGGATTAAAATATATGAAAATACAAATTAAACTATAAACTTCTTTCTATGCATTACTTAAGCTGCATTTCATGAATTTTGATATTGTGGATTTATTACTATTCAGTATAAATTTATCTATAATTTCTTTGTTAATTTCTTCTTTAACTCATTGATTAACAAGAACAATAAGAAGTGTGTTGCTTAATTTTCAAATATCCAGGGATATCATTTTTGATATCCGAAGTAATTGTTATGGTCTTAGAACATATATGGTCTGAGAACATACTCTATATGATTTCAATCCTTTGAAATTATTTAGTTTTGTTGTTTTGTTGTTGTCATCTAACGTATGGGCTATCTTGATGAGTTTTCCTGTGTACTTGAAATGAAGCTGTGTTCTACAATGGTTATGTGTAGTGTTCTATAAGTATCAATTAAACTAAGTTGTTTGATAATGTTTAAATCTTTATTCTTGCCACTTTTTCCTCCATGTTCTATTAACTAATAAGAGCAAAATGTTAAATTCTTCTACTATGATTATGATTTTGTTTGTTTTTCCTTTCATTTCTAGCATTTTTTTAACCTCGTGTATTTTGATGCTGTTATTGGATGTGCACATAGATAGGATTATTTTATCTTCTTGATGAACTGACACTATGCATAATGAAACATCCCTTTTAGTCTCTAGTAATAGTTTCAATCTGATATTAATAATCACCTCATACTTATGCTTGGGATCTGTATGATATATCATTTTCATCCTTTTACTGTCATCCTGTCTTTATATTTTAAGTGCATCTTTTGTAAACTACATAGAGTTAGATCTTGCTTTTTATCCAGTCTTATCATTTCTTCCTTTTAATTGGAGAATTTATTGTATACTTAATATAATTATTTACATAATTGTGTCTATTACATCTTTTATTCATATTCTGTTTTTATTCTTTTGTTTCTTACTATGTTTTCTTTGGGCTTACTTGTGTATTTTTTGATGTTCCTTTTTGTA